GTCACTGTGAAGGGATTTAGTGCTTCTCTAGATATGAGGAGATACAAGGATTGGGATCATAAAATCTGTTCCGAAAAGCATCCAACTACCTAAAGACCTGTCCCACCAGATCCCCTGGAGCACAGAGCTCCTCACTGGACCCTGAACTCCCTCGGGGATTGTTGAAGGTCAACAGCGATAGCAGCACGGGATTCAATCTCTGTAAGGGCAGATGACAAATGCCTTTGTTGTTCAGTTGTTGGCAATGCTCTTGGTAAGTGCCAATCTGTAGTTGACAGTTGTTTACTAGATACCACTGAATTAACTTCCCCAAGTTGAGTATTTATTACCAGATATGCAGGTATAGAGGTAGTATATTTTGAAAAGGGAGAAAATACCCAAATCAAATAAGGCAAACCTTGGAAACATTGCACATTCAGTTCCAGACCACTGCAATAAAGTGAATATTGCAATAAAGTCACATGAATTTTCTGGTTTCCCAGGGTATATAAAAGTTATGCTTACACTATACTGTAGTCTGTTAGGTGTGCAATAGCCTATGTCTTAAAAAAGTACATACATTAACTTAAAAAATACTCTATGGCTAAAATATACTTATCCATCATTTGACAAAACAGGGTTGCTACAAACCTTCAATTTGTAAAAAAAAAAAAAAAAGAGAAAGAAAGAAAAAAATAAACACAGTATCTATAAAGCTCAATAAAATGAAATGCAGTACAGTAAGATATGCCTGTATAATGATGTTCCCACCCCCCCAAAAAAAAATCAATATCTTAGACTTCAGATGAAAGGAAGCATTTGACATGTGTGAGATTTCTCTTAGGAACACAGCTGCCCAGATGGTCTGCTGAATATTTGTGGTAATCTCAGTTTATAGACACAGCCAAAGCTCAAGCGAAACATTTGGCTTGATGATGTTTTGAGTGTACGAGAGGGAAAGACAAAGAGGTCAAATTTGTTTTTAATGAAAAGAAACAAAAAATAGGGACAAGTCAACTGAAAAGGAGAGTTCAAAATTATGATAGGGCTTGATAAACTGGAGTCAGATAAATCTTTCCAGAGGTCTCAGAAAATCCAGGGCCTGTATCTAGAAAGAAACTGCTTACTGAGGCAGAACTGAGTGAGTGGACACACATGGAATAAATTTTCAAGCAAAAGCCCCAAATCAAATAACATAAATGAGCTCAAGAAACAGCAGGACATTTTAACAAAGAAAGTTGAGATCACAAGATGCAGTGATAAAGCTAATAAAAGGAACTGAGATAACCAGATAAGAGCAGCCCTTGGGTCAAACCATCCATTGGTACCCAGGTGTGTCTTTCTTTTTATCACGGCTTACTGTAGTTTGAAAGTGCCTTCAAACATAAAAATGAGTCCCTTGTGCTTTAACAAGCTCTTCATGTTACCTGAAGCCTCTGATTATGATTAGGAATGTTTCATTCATCTAGTCCTGCACTCCTATTATAGTGTAAAGATGGTTCCTGCAACCACGTGGTAAATAGAACAGTCACCCCCTGCAGCCATGACTCCTGGTACCTCATTCAGGAAGCCAGACAGCTAGGCAGGTCTGAGACCAAGCAGAATGACATAAGGAAGTCTCTTACAACTCTGGCCTTGGTGACAATATGGCCAAGTGAATAGCATAAAAGAAAGGGGCAATTTAAAAATCACCATCTACCCCCAAAGGCATTATATTCATAGCAGCCTGCCCAATTACGTATGTGTCATATAAACAATCGGAGAAGGTAATGGCACCCCACTCCAGTACTCTTGCCTGGAAAACCCCATGGACGGAGGAGTCTGGTGGTCTGCAGTCCATGGGGTCACTAAGAATCGGACACGACTGAGCAACTTCACTTTCACTTTTCACTTTCATGCATTGGAGAAGGAAATGGCAACCCACTCCAGTGTTCTTGCCTGGAGAATCCCAGGGACAGCAGAGCCTGGTGGATGGCTGTCCACGGGGTCGCATAGAGTTGGACAGGACTGAAGCGACTTAGCAGCAGCATATAAACAAGAGGCCATTGTTCCCAATGTTTGCCCTCAAGTTATTAGTCAGCTGCTGACCTCATATCTGCATAGCTGATATGTTGTCATGAAACAGACTGTGATATCTTAATTGATCCCTCTCAGAGGTTACAATTGTCAAGTGAAACCAGCGTGCTGATTCTTATTAGTTAGATGAGCCTTGTTGTAGCAGAGCCAGCTAATTCACTTTAATGACTTGGAAATCCAATGCAAATTGCTGCTTGTTGGGTATTAGAACACCTCCAAAGCTTTTCCTTTATATCTTTCTTTTTTATTTTTTTAATGTGTGGGGGTGGTACCCCCAAAATGTTTTTAGTATACAGGGAAGCAACTTCTTGGAACACTAAATGGAACCTAACCTCCTGGCACCATATGATATGCATTTTGGTGATAAGTTGGAATGTGTCATGTGACAAATTAAATAAGGCGTTGATTTGTGTGACTGAGTTTGGAGGACTCAGCTAAGTCTAATAGATGTCAGGAAGAACATTGTATTCTTCTTTACAATCTTCCCAAAGATTGTAGGGAAGGGGCTTAAATGCACGAGGAAAGGGCTTAAATCAATGCCTGATTCTACGAGGCATCCCCATGTGCCTCCATTTGCCCTTTGGTGAAGTCTTCACTATGGCACCAACCTAGAAAATCCCATTGCCAAGTGCCCTAATACACTCACCCTCCTTGAGAGGAGCTATTCTGACCTGGTGCCTGGACCACCTTAGTTTAGAAATCTTACTGAAGCAGGAGCTAAGGACAGTCAGTCCCTTTCATAGCAGAATTTTAAGGCACTTCACAATGGACCTTTGTGGGCTGTATAAGTAAGGTTTTTAAAAATTCTTAATTTTGACATGTCAGATAAATAGATTCACTCGCCTATATTGAACCTGTGGGTATGCTGATGTATTTCTTCCAGATTGCTTTTCTCTTTTAAACTAAATCAGCAATTCTAGATGAATTGAAAAAGTCCTCTTCTTTCCTATGTTCAGGGTCCTAATAAATTCTTTTCTTTAAATTGCTTTCATTTCCTAATTTGACCACTGTATATTTGAAATACTATGGTATTCCAGGGATTTCTGAGGAGTGGGGTTAAATGAAGACAGACATTGAGCCTACTCTTATGGAGTTTACTTTCTAGTGGACAGACATAATTAAATAATAAAATTGTAACACAACTAATACACAGTGTGGAAGGGGCCACTGACCAATAGGCACCAAGAAATCTGGGATCACATATCAGATATAAACGTAGAATCTCACAGAAAGAAAAGAAGAAAGGCATGTATCAGCAAAGTGCATTGTCCCCTTATCACTCACTGTTTGACAGTTCACTCTTCTTTATGTGTTGGGGAATCGTAAAAGGAATTTACAGTCATTCCTCCATACCCAAGGGGGGTTGATTCCAGGACCCCAGTGGATGCCAAAACCTGCAGATGCTCAATTCCCATGCCATGGCCTCTCCATGTGCTCCAGTTCTGCATCCACAGATCCAAGCAAGCCGGATGGTGTGGTATTTTCTATCCACAGAGTCGACTGTGTTTGGCTTGCTTGTCAGTATGCTAAGTCGCTTCAGTCGTGTCAAACTCTTGGCAACCCCATGGACTGTATAGCTGGCCAGGCTCCTCTGAGAATCCATGGGATTCTCCAGGCAGGGATGGAGTGTGTTGCCGTCCCCCCCTCCAGGGGATTTTCCCGACCCAGGGATCGAAACCGTCTCTTCTTTCTCCTGCATTGGCAGGGTCATCCTTCACCACTATCGCCACCTGGGAAGGAAAAACAAGCAGAGAATAAGGGAGAGAGCAGTGGGTTTAGGGTTGGATCTAGATTTGAATCTACCAATGCAACTTTATCACCTGCCAGCCCTGAAAGTTGATGCTTCGTCTCTATGAGTCTCTGTCACCTCATTGGTTAAAGTATGTGGAATCTAGAAAAATGGTATAAATGAACCTATTTGCAGGGCAGGAATAGAGATGCAGACACAGAGAATGGACATGTGGATACCAGGTGGAGTCAGGGGGAGGGGAGGGTGAGACAAATTGGGAGATTAGGATTGACATATATACGCTATCATGTGTAAAATAGATAAATAGTGGGAACCTCTGGCATAGCACAGGAAACCCAGCTCAATGTTCTGTGATGGCCTAGATGGGTGAGACAGTGGGGAGAATAGGGGGAAGGAAGTCCAATAGAAAGGGGATATATGTATAGGTATAGCTGATTCACTTCATTGTACAGCAGAAATTATCACAGCATTGTAAAGCAATTAAACTCCAATAAAAAAAAAATAAAAGGATGGTGGAGACAGTCTGTGTACCTGCCTTCCCTGAGTTCTTAAAAAGAAGCCTTTCCTATCCAACTGGAATAAACAAGAGCACGATGGTTATTTAACCATGGTGATGCAAGGGAATTTTTTAAGAGTCTCTATAATATTTTTGTTAGCCTGAAATTTATCTTCAGTAGTTCTGGGTTTTGAAAATTCAGAATCTCATCATTTGCTGAATTTTTTATATTTTTATCAATCACTACATACATATAAGTAAACTGCAGAATTGATGCCCATATATACTCCTTTTGCATTTCTTTTTTTAGCCACCATCCTTATTAAAGAGAGCAAATCTTTCTGTATTTCCTTATTTCATTTGAAATTACAGTTTTGAATGAAAAGGCATCATATAAAATGGGAAACAAATGACTGCTTTTTCATTGAATTTTAAACCAACACAAGAAAGAGAAATGAAAATTATTTCTTAGCAATCCATATTCAGTTTTTAAATGGAGGCATGCCCCAAGCTTGATATCCTGTGGAGCTAGTGTTGGATTAGTATAAATATATTTCAGAGATATTCCCACACTCAGCAATGATATACAATATCTGGAATTTCTGTTTTCCCAGAAGAACTTGTTGGGATATGTGGAACTTTCTAATTTACACATTTCTCCCCCACCCCTGCCCTGTTTCTCTTTCTGTTTTTCAGCCTTTGCAACTGGACTGTAATCTTTGTGCCATTGTGTCAAACTCAGGTCAGATGGTCGGCCAGAAGGTGGGGAACGAGATAGATCAGTCATCCTGCATTTGGAGAATGAACAATGCACCCACCAAGGGCTATGAAGAGGATGTTGGCCGCATGACAATGATTCGCGTCGTATCCCATACCAGCGTTCCTCTTTTGCTGAAAAACCCTGATTATTTTTTCAAGGAAGCAAACACTACTATTTATGTTATTTGGGGCCCTTTCCGCAATATGAGGAAAGATGGCAATGGCATTGTGTACAACATGTTGAAAAAGACTGTTGACATCTATCCCAATGCCCAAATTTATGTGACCACAGAGAAGCGCATGAGTTACTGTGATGGAGTGTTTAAGAAGGAAACTGGGAAAGACAGGTGAGTCCTCTGAGAAGTGGCCTTGTTGTCGTTCATGCTAAGTCTTTGCTGAGTTCTTTTGCCAGCTATTAAATGAACGGTTATTTTTCAAACCGGTTGTTACATGTTTTTGACTATTATGATTACTTGATGAGCCAGCAGTGAGGCCTCCTTTGGTCTACCTGCACCAGCCTCTCTCTTCATTTTGACTGGATCGAAGGCCCTCCTCTTCCCTTCCCCCCGCAAAAAAAAACACTGACTGCTTCCCCAAGGTATCTTTAGGTTTGTTCTTATTTAGTTCAATTTGCCGTTGAGTAAATTGGATATTAGCTGAAAGAAGTCTAAACATTTTTGTCTCAAAATAGAAGTGTTAAGGAACTTTAGGACCTAAACTCCTTTGGAAATTGTGGCAAAAATTTACTGAGACCGCAAAACAGAACAGGCTATTGATTCTGTAATAAGGTTTGCAGAGCTTCTTGCCTGCAAATAGGCCCTGCGCTTGTGAACTTGTGATCACCATAACTTAGCATTTAACATGTTAAGCAGAATATCATGTTGAAATTAAGCGTTACTTAAAATCATTAACAGTGGGTTCTTGACGAGAAATGAGATATATATATACCATTCACTCAATTAGCTAAAAACCAATTTGCATGTTTTTATTACATCTGGTTTTCTGCAGCATTCTGTAAACCACCTTTCCTGAGATCTGCTTGTCTTACTCTTCTGCTCCTTACTTTTCCTGCTTCCTCCCCACTCCCTCTTCCTCCTCCTCTTCTCCCATATAACTTACTTTTTTTCTTCTTCTTTAGAAAGGTAACCAGTATATGAGAGAGAAGCAGAGTTGTAAATCAGTCTTTTATTTTAGTTCATATATCTAGTGCTGGTAAAGACCTGCTGAAGGAAAAATATTGAAACTGATTGCTAAAGTTGAATTACCACTGAATATTGCTTACTGTGCAATGTCATGGATAAATTGAGTGTTGACTATAATTCCAATATTAACATTCTGATATACAAGGAAGGGTATACATCTCCTCAAGATGTATATCTTTTATCCTTTATTATTATCAAATTTAAATCTTTAACTGTATTGGGGTATGTGTTTGAGAAGGAGTTTCTAACATCTCTGGATAGAGTTTTAATGCTGGTAATTATTTTAAAAATCTTATGTGGACTAACTCTTCTGTTGATAATGTAGGTCAAATTTAGTGTTTTCTACTTCTGAGCACCAAAAATACATAGCTTCTAATGAAATGCAAGATAAATAGCGGTTGATATGGCCCCTTACACTTTAGAGTTAGTGAGAAGATTCCCAGTGTTTAGATTTGAATCAATGTAGCATAAGTGGTCCAAAGAGCCAGGCAGTAGGGATAAAAGGAGGAGGTATGTGCTTCAAAGAAATATGGTCACCTGTATCATCATTTTATATAAATATGATCATTCTCAAGTGGCTTTGGAAATTTCTGTTTTTTCACTAGCCCAGAGCAATGCAGTTAATTATGTATAGTTGGTTTTTCATTAGTAATAGTTTGCCCTTGGGGTATCACCTAGTCATAACTATAGTCCCTTGAATAATTTAGGGGTATCAGTGAAGAACTCAGCATGCTGTCTGTCCCCATGTGTTTTGCTTGTATCATGTTGGTTTTGCTGTGAGCTTTCAGAGACAGCACTGTTGCAGATCTGTGGGCTGGGCAACAAGTGCTGGGAAAGAATAGCTTTGGGAGGTTCATTTTCCTACTGGCTGTAAGGAGGAAAGCTGTTTATATAGTAGGGAAAAACTCAGTTGTTAATTTTGCAGGTATCATTCATTCCCTAGAGTTACCAAAACAGAAGTATAAAAATCAAGCCAAAATGATTTTATGATACTTTGTAGCTGTTTTCTCCCCCAAATCTAATCCTGTCTAGTGTTTCACTGAATACTGCAACCAGACCAAAGAAGACAACCGAATAACAGAAATGAGCAGAATGGATAGGTTCGGTAAAACCTATTTGAATGACAAAAGGCTGACCAAAATGATCTCAAGGGCTGCTATCTCCATTGTGATTTTAATCTGTGTCCTAAATATAGCTGTGTTGATTTGATTGTTAAAGATTTCCCTTAGTGACCTGATGTTCATTTCCACATTTCAAACAGAGACATTTTTTAACTTTTTATGAAGGGAAATGTCACACTTAGACTAATCCTGTAATCAACTCCTGTGTACCCACAGTTCAGATTGAATATTATTAACTTATAGCCAGTCTTGTTCCATCCATACCTCTATTTGCTTTCTCCTTTCCCAAGGTTTGTTTTGAAGCAAATGCCAGGCATCATATTATTTTCATTCATAAATATTTCAGCATTTATCTCTAAAAGATAGACTCTTAAAAATAAACACTGTGACATTGCCCCACATAAAAATCAGTATACTTTCTTAATAACAATATATATTTAGTCTGCTTTCAAATTTCTCCAATGATCTCATTAATATTTTTAACAGTTATTTGACTCAGGATTATTATTAAGGTCTGTACATGTTCAAATAAGGATTAGCATTAGTCTATACATTATAAATAATTGATATGTTTCCTATATTTCTCTTAATCTAAGGCTTCTTTTCTCTCACTCTCACTTTATTATTGAAAAAAATCTAGTCATTCATCCACGATCTATATTTTGCTGAGTGCCCCTCTATGCTCCTTCTGCTTTGATACCTCTGTACAGTAAGTCCCCTACATATGAATGAGTTCCATCCCAAGAGTGAATCTGTAAGTCTAATTTTTGTTCGTTTAAGTCCAACAAAGTTAACCTAGGTAGCCAACTAACACCTTTGGTTATATAGTACTGTACTGTAATAGGTTTATAATACTTTTCACAGAAATAATACATAAAAAACAAACAAGAAATAAAGAAAATGGTTTTCATCTTAGAGTACCTTGAAAAGTACAGTAGCACCGTACAATAGTTGGCATTTCTTAGCAGTACCAGCCACATCACTATTGCTTTCACCCTTGCTTCTGGACATCCTGGGCTTGAAATAAAGATACTCTACCAGTACTCTATACAGTACTGTGTAACCACTTGCAGAGGATACACACACGGCAGTGTATGCCAGACACATGAATAACTTATTTAATTGGACATTCAAACACATGTTCACATCTTTGAAAGTTTGCAACTTGAAGGTTTCTATGTAGGGGACTTACTGATATTAAGGATTTACTGGATTTGGGTCTAATTTTTTAAAAAAGTTTTTTTAAATCAAGATTCTTAGGTGATACTTCTATCAGAATGAAGACTGTTTTCTCTCTTTTTATGTTAATAGTCATTAATGATCATTGTCTAGATCCAGTAATTCATTAGAATTGTGGTGCAAAATGGTGATATTTCATGATTTCTTTTTCACTTATTAGCTGATATACAATATAAACTTGCTATCAACCATTTGGTTACTGTGAGATAGAAGATAGTACAAGTTCTTTCTCTTAATTTTCTAGTTTTAAGACATTGACACCATCATCCTCCAAAAAATGACCAGTAAATTTATTGTTTTCAGTATTTACATATTGACTTAGGTACTTAAACCTATTTGAAATACCTTAATTCATTAAAATTATGTTCTTATGCTTAAATCGTCCTATTTTGAGCTATGGGAATGTCTTCAAATTGGCTTTCGCATCCTTTAGATATGTCTTTAGTAGTTTTGTAAAACAGTCTTGCAAATTCTTTTTTGTTTCCTATTATTATATGATGTTTAAGGCTTTTCTTGTACATATCCTGATGCATGCCAAATCCAGACATTTTTCCCAAAGAACTTTGGTCCTTTTATTGATAGTATTGAAGAGAGCATAATCTTGGCTCTACAGATACTCATAACTACTGGATTGGTCTTTGTTTCTTGGTATTTCCATTAGACTGAACTAGTATATTAACAACATATGCTGTGTATGCTGTTTAAAAATAAAATCATTATGAGTTCAAATTGAAACTTCCAATTCAAATTCAGGACTATCAGGTTTTTATTTTACCTCATCTATCTTACATTTGTCTTCTCTCTGCTTTGCTGGCAATCACAGGTTCTAGAAACACCAATGTAAATACTCATGTGCTTTATCCCACAGTATACATACAACACTCTTAGAATTAAGAGTGACACTGCAACCAGAAATATGATTACTGTAAACATTTTAAGATTATTCTGCATCAAAGAAGATGTTTTAATACAAGCATTTGTGTGAGTCCATACTCACAAAGTGTGTATTAGTTATATCCTAACAAAAGTTTAAAATTTTTTCTCGTAAGTAAATAAAATTAAGTGGAATACATCATTGCAGGTATGAAGGGGTGAGGAAAAAGGTATATCTGTATAATTTGACTTTTGTGTAAACTATTTGGTTGATTTGCCTGCACTTTCTGGAGGTAAGTGCTAATTTTCATCATCAGGTTTTTAGTGGCAACATTATGTCACCACTATGGTGTATAATTCATAGAGTTAAAAAAAAATGTGTCCCTAGTCATTAAAGTGATTCATGATAGGAAAATGATTAAATGGAGTTCTTCAAAGAAATATTTGCCTCTCAGCTTGTTTCTTCAAATTATCAAAATCCTTTTAAAAAATATAAGCCCCCTCCTCCATTTACCATGGGCATCTTTTCATTATTCCAGTGGTTTTAATTTTTATCTCAAGGAATTTGTTATTGAGAAAACATGAAGTAATAAAAGAAATATGTACCCTGTTAATTTCTTAGACTTAATTTAGACCAACTCATGCACATATTGGAATACTTTTTCAAACCAAATGAAATTTAATTTGCTGTCTTATCAGAATAAAATTATTTGGCCTGTCAATTAGGGTGACCTTGTGGGAAGGACTGAGAGAACAAAAAGAGAGGCTGCTTGCCCTTTCTCTGTTCCTTTCTGGGGCTCAGCTTTCTTTGGAATTCTAGGCCCTTTGGGTAGTGGTCACCGTTATATCTTCACTTACCAAATATTTTTTTTCTGGGAAACAACCACCTTCAACAAACCAGGAAACTTTGGAATTAAAGGCCTTGTAGTAAAAATACAGCAGTGGAAAACTCAGCAGTGGCCACAGGACTAGAAAAGGTCAGTTTTCATTCCAATCCCAAAGAAAGGCAATGCCAAAGAATGCTCAAACTAATG